GCATGGATCTCTCCTGTGGGGGTGGGGTGGGGACCCCCAGATGCTCGGGCAAACCCCCTTCTGAAACGGATGTTGGAGAGCGAGACTCTATTTCTAAAAAATAAATAAATGAAATGAAATGAAGTGGATGTTGGGTCTCCAATAACAACGTGGACTTGGCCACATGGACCCAGACTCCGGCAGTCAGCAGACCTGGCTGCTGGGCGCGGCTGCCGGAAACTGAGTGGCGCCACCAGGCTGGGCCGGCAGCGAGTGAGCGTGTCGTCAGGCCTCGAGACGGACCGGGCTCCACAGGGGTGGACCCTGGGAAGAACAGCTGGGGAGGAAGCAGAACCTCTACCCTTCGGAAACCTCCTTCAAAATAGCCTTGCTGGCTTTGCGAAAGTCGCATGCACTCATGCAGAAATTCCGACCATACAGAGAAGAGCATCAGACTCGACCTCAGACTCGACCTCACCCCCCAAAGATCACCACTGTTACTGCGCGGGGCCCCTCCCTCTGGTGTCTGCATCTGCCCTGCGGACACGGAAGGACGCTCGGTGCTGCCACCCGGGGTGGGGTTGGGTCTCGCGCACAGACTCTTTTGCCCAATGACGTGTTATCACAGTGTCCGAGAGCGCGATCGAAGCCGTGGTTTTCCGTGGCTGTGTGATAGCTCACTGTCCAACCCCCCCAGCGTGTCTCTCCACTGGTGGCATCCAGGCTTTCCCCGTGGTCACTGGCGCCACCCCAAGCACTGGGGAGCGTTTGCCCCTCGGGCGCTGGGCAGAGGGGGGCCATCTGCTTCTCAGGGCTCACGCTCAGGCGGCCGTAGACCGCGTGGCTCTGACAGCGACCCTCCCGAGAGCAAAGGGGCTGCTGTTAGTGACCGGGGCTCTCAGCCTCCCGGGGGAGGGCGGCTGGGTGGCTGTGGGTCCGGACCCGCCTGGGAGGAGCGCCGAGGTTTGCACAGAAGGCACGTGAGCAGGGCCAGTCCACAGGGACTGTGTGTGACGGGGTCATCCTTAGGGAACCGTCCCACCCGCTGAACTCGGCGCTGCCAAGTAAGGTTGGCGTCTCCTGACCATTTCAGGCTGTGAACCCCGGACAGCGGGGCTTGGGGCTTCTTCACACTGCCCCGTCCAGCCGTCCTCCTGTGCGGCTGTCCATCTGTCTGTCCGTCTCACTCCGTGCCGGTGGCCAGCAGCCCCACGGCAGCCGTAAGACCTTAGTCTGGCTCGTTCACCACATCACTGTGCCAAGAGCAAGGGGCTGGCACGGCGGTGCTCGTGGGAAAGATTTGCGAATGAGTGAATGAGTGAATGAACGACCACCACGGCCACCCTCTCGGCCGCTGCCATTTATGGGTGGCTAACATGGGCCAGGCACGTTGCTAAACGCCGTACACCCGTGTGCTCGACAAACCCTCCTAGCAGCCCTGCCAGGAGGGACCGTTAGCCCGAGTTATGGAGCAGGAAGTGGGTCTCACACAGGTAGAGCCACCTGACAGGTAGGGAGTGGCAGGGTCACCACTCGACCCCTGTCGGCTGACCCTGGAGTCGTGGGCTCACACAGACATACCCCGCAGGGTCCCTCCTCCCTTCCCGCCGGCCGAGCTCTCTGCCCCGAGGACCCCAGCCCGCCTTGCCGAAGGGCGGGAGAGAGCCCCCCTGCCTGGGCACCGAGAGCGTGGGCCCAGGCGCCGGGACGGAACACGAGTCCACGTCCCATCCCCACAAGGGAGCCTGAGGATGGCCTCAGCTGTTCCCCCTGCCAGTGCACTCTGGGTTTGGGGTCCACACCTCCAAGAGCCCCCATGCCCCCAACATGGCTCCTTGGCCGGTGCACTCGGAACCATGAAACCTTGGATTGGAAGGGGCCTTGAGAACTAGTCCTACCCCCTCATTTTCAGATGAGGAAACTGAGGCCCAGAGAGCCCCCACCCCCATCTCAGACACTGGCCAGCCGTGGCGGTGGCCGGTGGCATAGACCGGATGGGGCGCAGGTGCTGCCCGCCTGGAGCACCCGTGAGGAGGGACGCGCCCCTCCCTTCCTGGTCCCTCTCCGCCCTCGCCCTCGAGTCCGCAAGTGGCCCGTGTGGGCCGGGGCGGGGTCTGGGGCCCCTCCTGCGGGGGTGGCCCCGAGTGGCTGGCCGAGTGGCGCAGAAAGCCCGCCCTGCCTGCTGCTTTTCCGTGTGAAAGGTGTTTAATTATTTCTGACAGAGTTCAGCGGCGACATCTGTTCGTGAGCGGGGAGAGTCCATTTAGGTTATCCATCACCGTGACAGGTTCAACTTTTTTGGAAGCGCTTTTCCTTTCACAATGGGGCCGGGGTGGGGGCGCAGATCAGCGCACACGGGCCCAGACAAAGGCCCTCCCGGGCTTCACACCTGACAGGCCTGTGGGTGACCCTGGGGCTCTGAGCCCGCACCCACTGGGCAGCTTCGGGGGGCGGCGGGTGCTTGGGGGTGCGGGTTGGGGAGGGGTTTCGTGGGGTCTGCAGGAGCTTGTAAATTCTTCTGTCGTTCTGGGCTCTGCCGGTCGTCCGTTCTTCAGTCCGTTCACTCACTCATTCCACCGACGCTGGCCAGCCCCTACTCTGTGCCGGGCACCCTGCGGGCTCTGGGGACGTGGTCCTTGTGGGCGCACACTTTCCGGGCAAGGCGAAAAATTGCCCGGGGAATTAATTAATTGCAAAGTTGGCAAGTGCCTCGATGGGGAAGAAAGGAGACCTTTGGTGTCAAGAAGGGGGCTGGAGGGGAGGGAGAGAGGGCAGCACGCCCTGGGGCTGGAATGGATCTGGGATCCACTTCTCACCCCTCTGGGCCTCAGTTTCCACATCAGCACAATGGGGCCACGATCGCTGAGATAATGCTTGTTCAGCGCCTGGCACATGGTAAGGGCTCCACGAATACCCTTTTGTTGGCATTGCTTCCTGGCAGGGCAGGGAGGGCCTGAGTGTGACAGCCACAACAGCAGCACCCTGGGTCTGAGGGTCCCCGCTGGGCTGTACAGGGCAGCGCCTGGGGAGGAGCCCGCGCTGGGAGTCCTTGGCCTCCGTTCCTGGCCACAGGATGGGGCTGACAGCCCGCAGCTTTAACTGCCGGGATCCTGTGAACATCCTTGGGCTTCCCCAAGACGACAGACACCCAGTTAATACCGGGCTTGCATTTGTGCAGCCTTCCTTGTTATTTCCGTGGCACGATGGGGGTTGGGGGGCCCAGCTTGGCCCGGCCATGCGCAACCCCGTGCCCCAGGCCTCGCCACTTGCCAGCGAGGAAGGCGCTGACCCTGCCTCTCAGCCCTACGGCGGAGCCAGGTGCTCGCTCTGAGGACGAAATGCAGTTACACGCACAAAGGACTTCGCACGGTGCCTGGCGCCGAACGAGAGGTCATTATTACAGGTTTGCTGGCTGCTCGTGACAGCGTTTTAGAACAATCTATGGGCTGGAAGAGACTCGTGCTCAGCTGAGTCAGATCCCTGTTTGGAAAATGGAGCACGTTAGTTTATTTCTGCGTTTGGATCCCTGCGCGGGGCCAGGCGCTGTCGGGACACGGCAGGAGCCCCCAGCATGGCAGTGCCAGTGCTGCCTGGCGGGGGACCCCCCGAGCCTCCTGTGCCCACAGCCTCGGACTCCAAACAGAGACGAGGGGCCGGGAGGGGCCGTGGGGGCTGCTCGTGCCCCTGGAGCACTGCGTGTCCGGGATGGCAGGGGCTGTCACGAAGGGCAAGGGAGGAACTGCAACCGCAGGGCCAGGACGGAGGCCGTGGACGGGGTCCACTGCGTGCGCCAGGGAGGAGCAGAGAGCAGGGCTGTGGTTCGAAAGGGCGGGAAGCTGAGAGAGACGGAGAAGCCAGAGATGAGTCTCGCTGTCAGGGTGGCCGGGTGGTCACAGGGGCTCTAAGGCGACTCCCACCAGCTCTCGAACGGCCCTCGGCCCTGTTCTTTCCTTGGCATGTGCTGCGTGCGCGGTGGCAGCAGGCTGACGGGCGGCAGGGCGCATGGTCACTGACATATGCTGGTGGCGGCTGCGTGGGCAGGAGCTGCGAGGCCGCGTCGGGGGAGCAAAGCAGGCTTCTCCAGCGAAGCTCGGCAGCTTGTTCAAGAGCATTAGGCTCAGGAAGGCACCGGCCCCTTCACTGTCTAAATTGCAGTTTAACTCGACACAGCAGCCAGGCCGGGCTGGCCGGGGACGCTGCTTTGTGCAGCTGTCTTCCTGGCGCCAGGTGAGTCCCCTGTGGCCTCCTAGAAAGGCTCCCTCTGCCCAGGCCAGGCGTACACGGCGCCCCACCCATCCCGAAGCCACCGTTCCCCAATCTCCCGGTTCCCTTTCTCTGCACTGTGCCCGGCTCTGACGTTGTCCCGGCCCTGCTGAAACCTGCTGGACACGAATGCCCACCTGGGCGCTGCAGGGCACCACGGCTGCGTGCGCGCAGGCTCAGTGCTGACGCTGGAACACGGCTGGCTCGCTGGGTGCTTACCTAGGTCAGTCTGGGTGCACATCATGTGCTTTTGCCAGTCCCCAGGGCACATTTGCTCCCCCCACCCAAGTGACACCTGCCTGTGGGAGGTGTAGCACTTGTGGGCATGTGTCTGTCTTGCACCCCAAGTTCCTGGTGCAGGACGTGGTGCATTGACAACCCCATCGCAGGAGGGTTTGGCCAGGCAGCCAAACCCTCTGCCTCAGGTGGACAGCCACCCAGGCTATGCCGGCAGGCGTCTGGGCTCGGCCCAGGACTCTGGCACTTGGCAGCATTCAGCAAGTCCCCGTCTGTACCACGGGCCCGACAGCACCCCCCTTCCGTGAATGCAAAGAGTCACCGAGAGATTCAGGTAGGGCTCGCCCCCTGGCCCTGGGGACGTGCTCCAAGAGTGTCAGCTATTGCTACTGCCATGGCTGCGGTTTTGTTGTGCTAACGGAAGGTAAGAAGCCCACAGCACTCCTGGACAGCAGGTAAAGGCCGGGCAGAGTGAGCAGTGCCGGCACCGGTGCAGGAGGGCAGGGGAAGGCGGCACTGACCTTCTGGAAGTGGGGCATGCGCCAGAGGGCGTCCAGCTTCACGGGCGGCTTGTACTTGCGCAGCTGGCTGCTCCGGGTCTCGTACAGCTTGCCCAGGATCACCTGCAGGCCAGGGAATGCAAGGGGGAGGCGGTCACCTGGCTATATGGACTGGAACTCGTGCCATGACAGACCCGTGACTTTCCTGCTGGCCCCAGCCCCCTCGGAGGCTATTTCACGGCCCCTGACGCCCTGGCCCTGTCCCCGGCCACAGCACAGTGGACGAGGGCCTGGGATCCAGGCTTCCCGACTGTTCCAGTTTCTGGTCTGGCTCTAGAACACGTGGGTTCTGGCACGTGGCCACTTTGAGGTCAGGAACAGTGTCCTAGTTGTCCTTGACATTTCGCTCTGTGGCTAACACAGCCCCAGTGGTTCGTAGGGACTCCGTGGCGTTTGAACAAAGAAACGTGTGATTAGGCTGGGTGCAGTGGCTCACACCTGTAATCTTAGCACTCCTCCAAGGCGGGAGGATCGCTCAAGGTCAGGAGTTCGAGACCAGCGTGAGCAAGAGCGAGACCCTGTCTCTACTAAAAATAGAAAGAAATTAATTGGACAGCTAAAAATATATAGAAAAAATTAGCTGGGCATGGTGGCTCATGCCTGTAGTCCCAGCTACTCAGGAGGCTGAGGCAGGAGGATGGTTTGAGCCCAGGAGTCAGAGGTTGCTGTGAGCTAGGCTGACGCCACAGCACTCTAGCTCAGGCAACAGAGTGAGACTCTGTCTCAAAAAAAAAAAAAAAAAAAGATAGTAAAAAAGAAACATGTGGTTTGAGGGGTTACTGTCTCTCGGAGCAGGTCCCCACCTTGGCCTGCCGTCTGAGGAGGAAGAAGGGCTCCTTTTGGGGGAGGGATTCGGGCGAGGGTCAGAGCCCATGGGGGGGACTCTGGAGGCACAGGGGAAGCCCTTCTGCTCCTGAGCTGCACGCTTGTGCCCGCTAACCGTGCCAGCAAGTTCGTAGCTCATGAGGATGGCTGTGGACTAAGTGGTGTCCCCCACAAATCATGTGTGGAAGCCCTCACAGCCGGTGTGGCCGTACTTGGAGACAGGGCCTACGAGGGCGTAATCAAGCTTACACGAGGTCATAAGCCAGGGAGGGGCCCTGGTCCAGGAGGACTGGAGCCCTTACAGGGAGAGGCAGAGAGATCAGCGCTGTCCCCACCACGCGAGGACACGGCGAGGAGGTAGCTGTCTGCAGGCCAGGGAGGGAGACCTCAGAAGCGGCCAACCCTGATGTCACCTTGATCTTGGTCCTCCAGCCTCCAAAACTGTGAGACAGTAAATTTCTGTTGCGTGAACCCCATGACCCGTGGTGTTCGTTACGGCAGCCCGGGCAGACTCAGCAGGGCCCAAGGCCTCCGGCCTCAGAGTCAGCTGCGGAAGGGCGTCAGCGGGTTCAGGCCGTTCGTAAGACAAAGCAGCAGCCATACAGATCTCGGAGCGGGAAGAGCCCCGAGCGCTTGGTTCAGCCAGTGTTTTCTGAGCACCTACTGTGCGCTAGGTGACGGGGCTCCAGCTTGGCATATTGAAAAAGGGCGGAGGTAGGACGGTCTCTCTGACTTCCCCACCTTTCTTCCCTCCTGAAGCAGGACATAAAACCTGGGAAGGGTTACTGCCCTTCCCCTGAAACAAGTCATAAGACCCTCATTCGAGAGGTGCCCTCCCTGTACCCAAGGAAAGGAACATCCTTACCTCTGAAGACAGAGTCACCAAGAAGAACCTGTGCAAACAGGCCTTGCTAGGGGCCCAGTTTATTGCCATTAGATCATACTATTTGTCCAGTGCACTTTCTGCACTACCGTCCACTCTGCGTCAAACCTGGCATCAAGATACACGGGGCTGACCACGGCTTTCGGTCTTCATTTGCTTATGGAGGCTCCCATGTCATGTAAAACTTAAATAAACGTCTATGTTTTCCCCTTGTTAGTCTGTCTTTTGTGATAGGGGCCTCAGCCATGAGCCTAGGATGGGGAAGGAAAGATATCCCTCCCGCCCCTCTACAAAGGTGCAATGCAGCAGGGTCTCGTGTAATCTGACCCCCTTATTTGCTCAATGAGGAAACCGAGACCCCAGCTAAGTGGTGACTCACTCACAATCACACACCTGGCGCTGGTGCTGGCTCCAAACCACAGCAGGGGCTTCCGGGGCGCAGCGCTTTGAAACAAGGGGCACTGCCCGTGAGATCTCCTAGAGTTGGAAGATGGGTCCCTGGAGGCTCCAGTTTCCGTGATTTGCCGACACTCTGGGTTGCCGTGAAATAGCTGCTAATTAAAATGTGCAGCTCTCGTGTGGGGCCATAAAGCGCTTCGTAACGGCAATGTTCCCCCTGAAACTGGCCATTACCATAGCAAGTTGACGCGTTCTTGAGCCATTAACGAGTAAACTAGTCCTGGGCGGCTCTTAAATGTTACGACAATGGCGTGCTTGTTCAGAGCTGGCGTGTCTGGCTCTACCGACTGCTGAGAACAGCCGGGAGCGGCCTTGGCACCCGGCCATGCCCGGGGATCCCCGGCCTCCCACCCAAAATGCCTCTCCTGGCCTGTCCCTGGGTGCCAGGATCTCCAGGAAGACTTCCGACCCCCAGTTTGGCCCTAGGTCACGGGCGCCGTCACTGAGCCCTGAGCTCTCCCACAGGCAGCCTGCGTGGGACCTCTCCTTCAAGACAGACTCACTTGGGTCTGCAAGTCACTTAAGCACTCTGAGCCTCAGTTTCCCCATGACAGTGAAACAAACTATGATGCTACGATGAGATACCCACCTTGTGGGGTTCTCGGAGGACTAACTGCAGGAACTCGGGCTGCGTCCTCAGCCCTGCTCTAAGCCCAGAGCACAGCCAGGCGCAGGGACAGTGTTGGTTGTGATTGTTGTAACAACCGGCAACACTAGAGCCACGCTCTTCGTGAAATCCGTAAAGCACTACGTGAACATAGAGCGACTGGGATTTCACAGTCGTCGGTCTGCATCCACCGCAGAGGAGGCCAATCTGAGCTCTCCGAAAGTCCAAATTCCGGACCATTTGAAAGGAAGTACCATTTGAGTATTTTCAAATGTGTACGACAGCACGAATTAACAGCTAAAGATGTTTATCCTGGTGAAAATCTCACTGACCCGACTTCCTGCCAGTCGCTGACACCCCGTGTCATTAGCGACCTGCAGCAGGTGCACGCCCAAACTCCCCTGAGCCGGCACCGCCCCGCCTCGATGCCACGCCTGGGAAGTGGGGACAGCAGCGATGACCGCCCACAGGCTTCGGGCGAGCGTGGATGACACCGGGGACATGATGATGCACAGGAGTGTCTGGCCGGGGCCTGCTGGCTAATCTGTAACAAGGCGTGCTCCCAAAGTTTAATAAAACGTGTCCTTTAAAGCACGCTTCCAGAAGTAGTTTTCTCTTTCAACTTTGCGGGGTTGGCCTTTCCTGTATAGACTGTGCAGGGCACACTGCTCTCCAGGTCAGGTCGGGTCCGTCTACAGCCTGATTTTGGGGTGTGTGAAGTCATGCAGCACTTTGGTGGAAAGAGTCCCCATGCAGGAACCGGGACGGCTCCCAGGCACACGGTGCCAACTGACTGGCGGCCCGGACCACGCCCCGCAGTCTCTGGGCTTACAGAGCGGCTGACCGGACAATCGCCCCGGTCCTCTGGAGCTCTGAGTTCCTCTGATGCTGGGCAGCCCCGCAAGGCACCACCTGATTTCCCACACGCACCCCACGACGGCCGTAGCCGGGGGTCCGTCTCGAAAGCCTGGCCCTGGCCAGCCCCAGCAGCGGCCACTCAGGAGTGAGGGCTGCGCTTACCTTTTGCTTTTTCTCCAGTTTAATGGCTTTCTGGGTGGCCTTCTGTTCCTGGATCCATAGCTGCCGGTAGCGGTGCTGCAGCAGATCAAATAAAGGCGTCGAAGGCCTGGAGGGGAGAAGCCCAGACAGGGCGTGAGGCCTCTGAAAGGCCAGGGCGCCCTCGCCCCTCAGCGCGACCACCTAGATGCCAGGGTTGGAGCCGGTCGCTCTCCCAGGGCTATGAAAGGCTCTCCTGGCCCCCAAAGAAACAGGGCCTCCCGTGAGCAAATGCTGGCTGCATGCCTACGCGTGCTGGGCCTGACATGGTGACAAAGAGGCGACTGGTTGACTGAACTTGAGACGGGCTCCTCCGAGCCCTCCTTTTGGCTAAGACCCACTCCCAGTCCCAGTCCCTGAGCTGCTGAAGCCCGTCAAAGCGTCCCACTGCGTGCACGCCCCACCCTCAGCATCGGATCGCCCCAACAGCAGATCGAGTCCCTCGTCCCCACCCCGATGTCTGATCACCTCGCCCACCTTGAGCCAGAACCCTGCTAAGCGCGTCCAGCAAGACTCTCCCTGCTGGATGCCTCCACTCAGTAATTTCCATCCACCGACTCCCCCCACGCGGCTCCTTGGCTGCCCGTCCCCACTGTGCCATCTTCGGAACGGTGCCCAGTTCTATCCCGAAGTCTCTCTCCCCTTCTGCAACAGCACGGAACAACATCTGTCTTTGCCACTTCATTGGCGTCCAGCTCTGGCTCTCTTTGACAGCGATTTGCAGCCCAGGAGCGCTTATCCTGAGCCTTCCGTATGCCCCGCCCTTGGCAACGCTGGAAAGTGGGTACTGTTATTATTCCCACCTGAAAGATGGGGGTGGGGTGGGGGTGTAAGGTCCCAGAGCGGAGGGGACAGCGCTGGGAGTCGGACGGCTCAGCCACAAGCCTCTGCAACGACACAGCTTTCACGTCCTCGCAGCGGACGGCCAACTGCTCCAGGTGGGGCCTAATCTCTAAACAGGTTGAAAGACTGAATATACAAATGGACGATGGCCAAACCGCATATAAAAATAGAACTCTGCACCACGGTCTGCGGCAAGCGGCCCAGGAAACCAGCCCATTTTCTAGAGCAGCAGCCTAGGAAGCCAGCCCTCGATGTCGGATTTGTAGGCGGTCAGAATGCCATCCCGGCCAACAAGCCAGGACGCCACACAATAGCCCCTAGAACAACCGGCCCCAAATGGCCAGGACTTGATTAGTAACTGCCAGCGTCTTTAATTTTTGCCCACATTTGCAACTTAGGAGCGACCAGAAAGCTAAATATGCACCCCAAATAGGATGCCCCATTTATATATATTCAGTACATAATTTATGATGCATCCTAACCAAATAGGATGCCCCGCTAATATATATATATATAATTTATGGTGCATGTCATATACACGATACATGTTAAATGTATGATGCATATCATATATATGACATATACATATGTGTATTTTCAAAAGGAGGAAAATGAAAAGATAAACCAAACTTAGAGATATCCCCTATAGGACAAGGAAGAGAACAGGAAGGAAGTGACAGAGGGGAAAAATAGAGCTCTTTGAATAGACTTTGTGTTAGAGTTTTGATTTTGGAACCATGCAAAAGGTGAAGTTTTTGAAAAAGTAATTATAACAAAATTAAATAAAGAGAAAAGATTAGCACCTACCCCAAATAGGTGGAAGAAAATGAACATAACATCTGGGGTGAGCCCAGACGTCTTTGGTAGCTGGTCCTGTGTCACCCCCAAGGTGAGCGGGAGGTGACACAGCGTGAGCCACCACATCACTGCAAGCCGGGGACAGCCTGGAGCCACTGGACACTGGGGGAGTGAGGACGGATCCTACCTAGAGCCTCGGGAGGGGACGCCGCCCTGGGACACCTTGACGTCAAACCTCTGGCCTCCAGAACGCTGAGAGAGTAACTTCCTGTTGTTCTCAGCTGCCACGACTGTGGTGGCTCATCACGGCAGCCACGGGTCAGCCCTACACAGGGGCTCCTCGGCCTGAGCTTGGGAAGGGGACCGCTGTCCGCATGAGCGTCCAGAGCAGGCCCAGAGCCCAGGGCCCACAGAGAGTCCTTCACGGCTCTTGCACTGCCACTGGGGACCTCGTCCAGGGACTCCCGACTCAGCCGGGTGGCGGCCAGGGGCGCTGCAGGTGGGACCCTGGCTCGAAGCCTTGGAGACCGTGGAACTCCAGGCTCTCAGCGCCCCGAAGTGCCATAAAGTTGCGGACAGTCCCTTCCGAGCAGCCATGTGAAGACACCTGTCTGAGGAGAGGGTCCGTGGCTTCCCCCAGATTTTCAAGGGTGCAAGGGCCCCGGACAGGCTCCCGCCTCAGACCCTGCCTGTGACTGTGTTCCCCGGAGGAAGGCGTGAGGAAGCAGACCCCCAGCTGAGGACCTGGGACTGCACACCTGAGCCTCTGGCTTTGTCCCAGGAGACTTGGAAAGGGTGGGCAACTCTTAAAAACTGGAAAAATTTTACATTTAAAAAACAACAACTTTCTCAATTGTCTTGAAAGGTTTTGACAACGTGAGGCCCCATCCCTGTCTCTATCTGCTGGGCCCTCCAGGCGTGTGAGTTCGTGGCCCCAGAGACAGACGCAGAGCCGGACTGGACCCCGGATGTCCTGGCACAGCTGCCTCCCCCACGCAGGGCGCTCCTGGGGACCGGGCGGAGCCGGGTAAGTGGAGGCCCAGCGGCTTTGCACCGCCACCTCCGCCCAGGGGTCTCTTCCCAGAGCAGCCTACACACAGCGGCTCTTTGTTTTCCAGCTCCTTTACCCCTGTCGTGACTTTTATTACTTAATTATTACACACCCCATGCTTCTGAGCAGCCTAATTTATAGCTGTGCTTTCTAATGACACCAGATCCGTAATCTGGAAATATCTACCCCAAGAGGCCGTTGGCGACGGAAAGACCCTCTTCCAGCGCCTCCCCTGCATCCAGCCCTGCTGCAGCCGCTGCCAGCCAGCTGTGCCTGCTTTGTGTCCCACTCCGGCCAGCGGTTCTTGTCACCGGAAAGAGGCAGGAAGGGGCTCCTGGCACGAGAGTAATGACACACCCCGTGGGTCCCGGTGGCCCCGGTGGTTGTCTGAAGGAGGCCAGCAGCTATGCCGGTGTCTTCTGTGGCTCACTGACGTGGGTAAGCAGGTGGCGAGGCTGCCGTGACAAGGCAAAACTCAAGATGCAAATCGGGCCACTCGCCCCTTGCTGAAAACACCCTCTGTGGCCTCCTGTCCTAGACTAAGCGCGGGCTTGTGGCCCAGGCCGCAGGGCCCGTCCAGCCGCCTCCTCCCTCCCTCCCCTCAGCACACGCTCCGCTTCCCCTTTGCCCCCGGCTCTCGGTTGTGGGCTCACCTCCTCGGGTGACCACCTCCCCAGCCAGCCCACCCTAAGACAGCCATGCCGGACGAGTTCCCCATTTGGGGGCCTCTCACTCATTTGTTTTCTGGTTTACACTGGGTCTTGGATGGTCACCGACTGCCAGTGCCACAAGGGCCAGAGTGGTTTATGTCTGGCAGGAACTGGCGTGGTAGCTCTCTCAGTGGTTACCTATTGTTGAAAAGAAAGAGAGAGAGAGAGACAGAGGATAATGGGGGGAGAGAGTAGGAGGGAAGGAGAGAGAGAAAGACTAGGCAAAATTTTAGGGGATATGCATTTCATAATTCAGGTATCATAAATTAGGCTATATATGCAGTATAATAAACTAAAGGAAGTAAACGATGGAAATTGCGAGTCAATGGAGGAAGGATAGACTCTTCAACAAATGGTACCGGGGCATCTTGGACAAATCGAACAAACAGAAAACAAAACCTCCACCTAAGTCCCATACCTTACATAAGAATTAACTCAAATGGATCATGGATTTACATACAAAATGCTAAACTTACAACTTTTAGAAGAAAACTTAGGAGAAAAGAGAAAACCTTTGGGATCTAGGACTTGGTAAAGAGTGTTTTAGACTTGACACCAAAAATATAACCCATTTTTAAAAACCTGATAAATTGGCCTTACTCAAAAGTAAAAATGTTGGCTCTGACAGGCCCTGTTAAGAAGACAAAAAGAGAAGCTTCGGGATGGAAGGAAATACCTGCAACCATAGGGCTGGCAAAGGACTTCACTCTGGAATAGAGAACTCTCGAAACTCTACAGTAAAAAAAAACCCCAAACAATCCAATTAGAAAACAGGCCAAAAAACCAGGAAGAGATATTTCATCAAAGAGGATCTACGGATGGCAAACATATGAGAAAATAGGCAACATCTCTGGCCATTAAGGATGTGCAAATTAAGACCATGATATCACTATGTGCCTATCATGCAGCTAAAATGACAGTGACTCTGCCAGATGCTGGCAGGGACGCGAGAAACTAAGCCTCTCGTGCATTGGTGGTGGGAGTGTAACATGGCGCCGCCACCCTCGAAGAAAACAGTCTGGCAATCTCTTAAAAAACTAAACATATGCGTACCATATATACAGCCAGCAATTGCACTCCTGGGCATTTATTCCAGACGGATGAAAACTTAGATCTACACAAAACTTATTTGAAAATAGTAACAGCAGCTTTGTTTGTAATAGCCCCAAAACTGGAACCACCAAAATGTCCTTCAACAAGTGAATGGTTAAACAAACTGGCGTATCCACGCTCCGGAATACCACTCAGCAATGAAAAGGAATGGGCTACGGAAGCATGCATCCATTGGATGGGCCTTGAGGCTTTTATGTGAGGCTCAAAAGCTTGCACACTATTATGATTCCATATATGTAACATTCTTGCAATTTTCCAGGGATTAGGGGTCACTATGGGGTAGTGTGAGGAAGACCTTTGGGGATGACAGAACAGTTTTGTTTCCTGATTGTGTTAAATCTACACATGTGATAAAATTGCAAGAACTAAATATATTAATACAACACACACACACACACACACACAAATGAGGGCATGTCAAACCGGTGAAGTCTGTGTGCTGTTCCGATGCCCATTCCTTGTTTTCATTTTGCACTCTAGTTATGCGAAATCTTCTCACTAGGGGAAACTGGGCGAAGAGTGTACTGAGTCTCTTTGCACTACTTTCACAACTTT